TTGACCAATGTTTTTGTGGTTATTTTCTGTTCAATATACGAACAACCTTAATAATTACTTTGTATACTTATAAAATCTGCTCAAATGTAGCTTGTAAGAGCGCAAATATGCAAGGGTGTGCAAACTGCCTTTTTTTCCTTAAAAAAAAAAAAAAAACCCTTTTGCACCACAAGATTGTTATGTACCAATGAATAGCACATATTCAATGTGCAGCGAGCTACAGGTTTTCTACAACTCTATTCGCAGTAATAAACTAGTCCCCACTGTATGTTGATTTTTGTCCTTTGGCAACAAATATATATATTAGTCAATGTTAAATAAACAATTCAATGAGAAACATACATTCGCGAAAGCTACCATAGTCGTGCAAAGAAATGCGCGATCGCGCACAAATAAATACCAAGCAGCTGTCAGATGACAACCTGTGTTCATACAGCTGCTGTGTCCCCATAGTGTAACAGGTGGCTCCACCCACATGAACAACCCCCCCTCATTCATGCTGTACAGGCCAGAGGACCTGTGTCAATGGGGCATTTTTTACTTTTTTTTTTTCCTCGGGTCGTTAATTTCAATGGGCTGCCTAATGTGTGGGAACATGCAGAGATACTGCAGGCATATTATTGTAAAAGTGTGTTGCACCTAACCGTGCACATCTACAGAGGGCATTGCATTTCTTTGCTGTGCTGGAAAATGTGTGTTCTTGCATGCGTTTCTGCACCACCAATGGTGTGAACAAGTCTTAAGGGCCAGTTCACACTATAGAAACAGTCTAGATGTGTTCCTGATGTGTTTTTTCATGCCCTTTTGGCATGCATGTTTAGTGTGTTCCAGTACATTTTGGATGCGTTTTGGACACATTGCATTGCATTTTTGTATCCCTTCCAGTTAGTTTTTTCTACTTTCTTTTTATTCAGTTTAATTAGGGACGTGTGCGTTTTAGTACATTCAAGGACATTTCAATGTGTTCCAGTACAGTTCTGTGCAGAAACAATGCAGCATGGTCAACTTTGTTTACAGCACCTATAATGCACTGAAAATGCAAGCGCTGATGTGAACTATGACATTGACAACCATATAACCTTCTTTCTGTGCGTTTGTGATGCCGAAAAAGCAACTGAAACACATGTAGTGTGAACTGGCCCTAAAGGTTATTAGAGGTAAGGGAACGGGACTGACCAGGGATTGTGAATTCAATCAGACTAGTGGTGATATACAATCAGCAATCGTATAATAATGTGAGATCTGAGCTGTAGCTGATAGAAAATGAGATACATTCACTTGATCAGTTAATAGTTAAAGAGAGTGGGGCTGTGAGCCATAGATTTGCATATGGGACAGGTGATGATGGGGTGGGGGAGGGGGTCAAGTTGTATAAGGAGACAGATTTAAAAGAAGAGAAAAAAGTTACAATGAAATATACACAGCATGAAACTTGCACATTTCCTAATTGGCAGAAGAACAGGATGCAGGTAACATTCATCCACTTTCTAGTCATTAGGCAAAATCATAATTGATTGATCAATATTCCTGGCACTGACACAACCCAGAAAATTGATCTCCATTTTTTTAACGTTCATAAATGTCAAGGAGCTTATAATCTAAGGACAGAAACTCAGCCATGTACTAGGCCCAATGAACCTAACAGCATGTCTTTTAAGTGTTGGCAGAAACACATCCATACACAGGGAAAGCATGCAAACTGGGATTAGAATCCATGACCCAAGTGCTGTAAGTTCTGAGCTCTAACCACTAAACCACTGTGGGAGACACAGTTTGAGCTACGATGTAGAATAGTTACATTGTTTAAAAATGATAAAGCGAGCGCTGGTCAAATTATATAGACTTATAAAATGGTATTACACAAGATAAATATAACCACGAACAGTAGTGCATGAACTTGTGAAAGGTCATCCACCCCTGTGACAGTCTACTACACTATTAAGCACCTTTCTGGCTCCTGTGGCTGAGCTAATTCCTCCCCAGGACCATTTGGGCACCCACCCTGATGGATGGATGGATGGATGGATGGAGCTGGATGACTAACCCACAGCTGCCAGCATACCGCTGCACCCCCAGATGTGTGATGTGTATAACCCATGCACATTAATACTTTTGTTCTGGTGAGTGTAGACCAGTCCCAAGGGTGGTTTACCTTTCACGAGTTCATGCACTGCTGTCCGTCACGGAGAGACCACACGTGCCATTCATATGCACTCTCTGAGTTGGTACTCTCACACCAAGGACTTTCCATTATTCAGGAATGATTATATGAACTTATTTTAGCACCATTTATCATTTTACATCATTGTTGCAATTATTTGCACTTTTTGGTTTTTACATGCGTTCATTATTGATCACATGCATTTATAGCGCTGCATTTGACTTTAACATAAAATAGTTACGTGATTACAGAGAATGAAGATATATCATTATATTGGGAAACTAGAAGTATCCAAATTATTTGAGATATAAGTGTGAAAATGTTTAACATCTGAAAATAGAATGTATGACATTCATTAGTAAATGCATCAGTTGTCTGATCATTTTGGAGAAACACCAAAAAAAAAAAAAAATTACAATATAGATGTACTAATTATGTTACATTCTAAATATTCTCTTATGCTAAGAGAAAAACGCCAACAGGACAAGGCCCGCGCTTGTGCGCCATCTAGCGAACATATACGGTATTGCACCTAAAAATGTGCCAGACGCGATTCCACATTTACTAATAGCAAAGTAGACGTTCGTCAATGAGATTGCTAGACGCCGCTCAGAAGACTGACAGGTTTTGATTGATTTAACTGAGTCTGCCTGAATGTTCAGAGTCTGCTAGTAGACTCAAGTCTTAGTAAATCAGGGCCAGGATGACTTGCACATTAGAGGGATATGGGGGGGAGCTGTGACAGGGGTCTCCCAACCTCTGGAAAGTAATCTGGGTTCCATGAGCCCCCCACCCAAAGTGACTCCTGTCACAGGCAGGGCTGCGCAAAATCACGTATATATACGCAATTTGCATTTTCGGGAAGGAGGCGCACGCACCGCCCTACCCACGCCCCTATTGGCGGCCAGGGATGTCAATCACCCGGTCCAGGTAAAGCTGTCTGCACAGCACAGAGATGCAAAACAGCATGTCTCCCTAGTTAAACAGCACGCAGTTAACCATTTGATCGCCCAAAAGTTAACCCCTTCCTGTACAGTGCCATTAGTACACTGCCAGTGCTTTTTTATTAGCACTAAATCACTGTATTAGTGTCACTGGGGATGTCAGTGGCAGTTAGTCCCCCCCCCCCCCCTCAGTGTCAGAATGCCCGCTGCAGTCCCGCTATAAGTCGCTGATCGCCACCATTACTAGCATAAAAAAATAAAAATCCCAGTATCTATACCGCCATTTGTAAACACTATAACTGCCACTTAAACCAATTAATTTACACGTATTTGGATTTTTTTTTATCAAAGACATGGAGCAGAATACATTTTGGCCTAAATTTATGACGAAATTTGATTTTTTTTATTGGCTATATTTTATAGCAAAAAGTAAAAAATATTGTTTTTTTTTTTTCAAAATTGTTGGTCTGTTTTTGTTTATAGCATAAAAAAAACCGCAGAGGTGATCAAATACCACCAAATGAAAGCCCTATTTGTTGGTAAAAAAAGGACATAAATTTCATTTGAGTGCAGCATTGCATGACCGCGCAATCGTCAGTTAAAGTAATGCAGTGCCGTATCACAAAATATGGCCTGGTCAGGAAGGAGGGAAATCCTCTAGATGACAAGTGGTTAATCTATCAATACTTCCCGCTGACACCACCAACTGTGGAAGCGAGTTCCACATCCTTACCACCCTGACAGTGAAAAACCTGCTACGCAATTTAAGGCTAAACCACTTCTGTTCCAATTTCACTGAGTGGCCCCGTGTCTTCTTATATTCCCTGAGACAGAATAGTTTATTCCTTTATGCTGGAATCACCACTGAGGTGTTTGTATATCAATATCGTATCTTTTCTCAAGCGTCTCTTCTCCAGGGAGAATAATTTGTAGTCATTCCTCATAACTGAGGTCCCCCAGGCCCCTTATTAACTTTGTTGCCCTTCTCTCTCCAGTTCTAGAACATCCTTTCTGAGGACTGGTGACCAGAACTGGATGGTATACTCCTTATGTGGCCTAATCAGAGTTTTGTAAAGTGGCAGAATTATAGTTTTATCACTTGAGTAAGTACTCTTTTTATGCATACTAAAATTCTACCAGCTTTACTTGCTGAAGCTTTGGTATGCATGCCTCTGCTGAGTCTGTCATCCACTAGTACCCCCAGACCCTTTTACATCCTGGCTTCCTCCAGAAATTCTTCCCCTAGTGAGCAACTTACTTTAGTATTTTTAGCCCCCATTACTTTAAATTTTTCAATATTAAAACTTCTTTGCCATGTATTTGCCCACTCCTTTATTTTATTAAGATCGTCTTGTAAAGGTTTTTATCCTCAACAAAAACTGAGATTGAGCTATTTATGCCAACCAGGGGCAGACTGACAAATCATGGGGCCCCCAGGCAATAGGGGATCATGGGGCCCCTGTGTACTCGCCCACACTCAAACCACACCCAAAAAAGCCTATGAAAGGTACCAGAGGCATCTCATGGGCCCCCTACTGACCCAGGGCCCTCTGGCTGCTGTGCCGGAGTTCCCTAATGGTCAGTCCACCCTTGATGCCAACCTCTATATCATTTATGAATAAATTAAACAGAATTGGTCTCAGGACAGAGCCCTGGGGTACCCCACTTACCATTTCAGACCAGTCCGATTACATGTCATTTATCACCACCCTTTGGACGCGCCCCTATAACCAGTTTTCTATCCATGTTCAAACCCTATGGTCCATGCTTACAGTCCTCAGTTCGTAAATTAAACATTTATGGGGAACTATATCAAATGCTTTAGCAAAATCCAGGTACACCACATCCACAGACCTCCATTTCTTTAGATGGCAGCTCACAACCTCATAGAATGTTAACACAGGCCTTGAATTTTCCACTCGCCTGCTCGCCAATGGCAAGTGGAAATTATGGTGGGGGCAAATGTGTCCCCCAGGGCCGTCTTGCTGAGCAGGCTCGGAGCTCAGGCTGGATCTGTTATTGGCACTGGGAGCCGTCGGACTGCTCAATAGCTGAGCGTAGTGAAAGCAAAGCAAGGAGTGTGTGCTGTGCTCTCTGCCTCCCCTGGAGTGCAGTACCCGGCTCTGTGAGTGAACAATGAAGAACTGCAACTTTTTATAGGGTGTGTGTGTGCCTACCTAATTTCAGCTCATTCTGGTCACATGATCCTCTGTCAGCCAGTGGTGGCTTCATGGGAGAGGAGAGAGTGCGTGTGTACTTGTGTGTTTCTGTGTATGCATGTACATGTGTCTGTGTGTATCTGTACATGTGTCTGTACATGTGCGTGTGTGTACATGTGTCTGTATGTATGTACATGTGTATGTATTTACATGTGTCTGTGCATGTGTATTTCTGTGTATGTACATGTATCTGTGTGTATACGTGTCTGTAAGTGCCTGTGTGTGTATACATGTGTCTGTGTCTGTCTGTGTATATACGTGTCTCTGTGTGTATGTACAGGTCTGTGTGTGTGTGTGTGTGTGTGTGTGTGTGTGTACAGATGTCTCTGTTTGTGTGTGTTTGTTGGTGGCGAATAACTCTTAAGGCCTGGCTAGTAGCTCAGGACTTGAAATTTTAACTCCTGTGTTAACAGATTAATTTGGCAACAAAGACCTTTCATAAGCCACGCTGATGACTACTAATGATACTTTTTTCATCAGCAAAATCTTGGATATAGTCCCTTATCATCCCCTCCAATAGTTTACATACTATCGATGTTAGACTGACTGGCCTATTGTTTCCAGGAATGTATCTCTGCCCTTTTATTAAATATTGATACCACGTTGGCCCTTCGTCAATTAGCTGGCACTATTCCTGTCAGTATACTGTCCTTAAAAATTAGGAATAGCGGTCTGGCTATAACCAGACTGAGTTCTTTGAAAACTCTTGGATGTAAGCCATCTGGTCCTGGAGATTTATTTGTGTTAAGCTTTTCTTTTTCAGACGCCGGCTTCAGCTAGCCACAAAGGTACATTCTGTGATGCGCTTCAAATGTCATGATTACTATACCCCTCTTTTTACTTTTTAAAAACTGAAAATTTATTTAGTACAGTTGCATTCTCCTTGTCATTTGTAACCAACTTCCCTTCCTCATCTTTTAGGGGGCCAATATGTTCTTACCTCGCTTTCTTACTATTAATATATTTAAAGAATTTTGGGGGATTTTTTTTACTCTCATCCGCTATGTGTCTCTCATGGTCTATCTTAGCTGCCCTGATTGCATTATTACACTTCTTATTGCATTCCTTGTAGTGTTGGAATGCGGACAATGACCCCATTGCCTTATATTTTTTTAAAGACCATTTTTGTCTCCATCTGTCTTTTTACATTAAAGTTTAGCCACCCAGGTTTGACCTTCACTTTTTTTATATTTGTTGCCCATTGGAATACACTGGATGATACCTCTAATATGTTCCTAAAGTACTCCCATTTTTCCTCAGTGTTCAATGTTTCCAGGATTTAGTCCCATTTAATATCTTGTAGTACCTACTGAGTGTAGTTTAGAAAAGTTTTTCTCTCTTGAAATTCAGTGTTCTTGTACTACCCGTGTGTGTCTCCTCTTCCTATGATTAATGCTGAATGTAATTATCCTGTGATCACTGGTTTTCAAGTTGCCCTGTATTTCCACATCTGCCATCAGATCTGAGCTATTTGTAATTAAAAGGTCTAACAATGCATTCTTTCTAGTCGGGGCATCCACCAACTGATACATGAGGTTGTCCTGTAAGACATTTTAAAAATGACAAACCTTAAGCGAATGGGCTGTTCCTTCAATATCTGGATAGTTAAAGTCCCCCAATATGATTATGTTGCTCTGCCTAGCCACCATTTCTAACTGCAATAGGAGATCCAACTCCTCATCCTTCAGATTAGGGGGGCTGTAACATACCCCCACAATTAATTTCCCACTTGTTTCTTCTCTTTGAAGTCTCACCCACAGGGACTCCACATCCCCTCTTGCACTATTTGCAATGTCATCCCTCACATTCACTAGCAAATCATTCTTTATGCACAGATATACCCCTCCTCCCCTTCTACCCTCCCTGTCCCTCCGATACAAGGAATATATCTGGATAGTTGCTAGCCAGTCATGTGAACTGTCAAACCAAGCCTCTGATGTTCCCACAAAGTCAAAATTCTCCTCCTGCATCAGCAGCTCACGTTTTTCCATTTTGTTAGCGAGGCTCCTAGCATTTGTGTACATGCCTCTCAGTTTTGTATTGGTGCATGCTATTTCCTCCTTTAATTGTTCTGTGATTGTATTTTTGTTTTGCCAACACACCTTCCCAAAGTGAGAGGTTAAAGCACCCTCTGACCTTCTCTTACTTCTGGCTTTTGTTTCATCTGATTCCCCCCACCTAGTTTTTAAAAGCCCTTCTAACTTTTTGGCCATCCTCTCCCCAGCTCCTGCTGCCTCTCTGGTGTGACTCAAGGTACAGTATCTCTGAGAATACCACTTTGGAGGTTCTTCTCTTCAATATAGTCCCTAAGTCCCTGTAATCATGTTTAGGACATTCCACCTTCCTCTAACTGTGTCATTGGTCCCAATGTGCACCATGACAGCTTGGGCCTCCCCAGCCCCAACCAACAATCTGTCCATCTGATCCGCGATTTGCCGAACCCGAGCGTCCGGTACACAACATACTGTGTGGCAATCACGGTCTTTGTGACAGATTGCCCCGTCTGTCCTCCTAATAATTGAGTCCCTTACCACCCATATCTGCCAGCCTTGCCTGTATCCTCATCTTTCCCCTGGCAGCTAGGGGAAGGAGACCACCCCTGAGCGGATATCCCCAATCTCATGCAACTTGGTATATTGTTGGGATATACCAACTCAGGACTGGCCTCTCTAAGGCTCTTCCCTCTACCCCTCATTCTAATTGTCACCCAGCTACTTCTGGCTCCTGTACTCCACATCCCCACCCACCTCTATACTGGCCCCATCCGGCACCTGCTGGGTAATGTCCAAACTCCTTTGCAGGTTGTTGATGCTTGGTAGTGTTGCCACCTGATTCGCTATATCCAGGATCTGGGCTTTCAGAGAAACAACTAGCTCACACCTCACACAGCAGTATTTGCACTCGAATGGCTCTTCAAGGAACGCATACATGGAGCGAGATGCACACCGGGTCACGTCATGGTGGACATTTTACCCTGCTACCTAATGGAGATTTTCCAGGAAAGATTTTTTTTCTCCCTTCTTTCCCTCATATTTATAAATTTCTTAGATCTCCTTGCTAATCTCCTAATCTGAGCAGTATCTGTTGTTATTCATTTTGTATTTGGAATACTCACAGTACTACAAATTATTTGCAATAGTCCAATTCATTTCCAGTACTCCAAGTCACCCCATGTTACTCCCAGCACTACAAATTACTCCAAATTATTCCCGATCTCCAAGTTACTCCCAATATTCTGGGTACTCTAAGTCACATGCAGTACTCCAATCTGCACCCAAAATGTCAAGTTATCCAAATTACTCCACTCACTCCAAATTACCCCAGTACTCCAAATTACTCCAAAAATACTCCCAGGGACTCCAACTTACTCCAAAAATACTCCCAGTATTCCAAAAGTACTCCCAGTACTCCAAGTTACTTCAAAAATACTCCCAGTACTCCAAGTTACTCCAAAAATACTCCCAGTATTCCAAGTTACTCCAAGAATACTTCCAGCACTCCAAATGTACTCCCAGTACTCCAATTTACTCTGAAAGTACTGCCAGTACTCCAAAAAATACCCCTAATACTCCCAGTACTCAAAGTTGCTCCAAAAGTACTCACAGTGCTTCAAAATAATAAAAAAAATATAAAAATATTCCAAGTTACTCTGAGTGCTCCAATAATATTCACACTGCCAGTTTCTCCCCTTGTTTTGTACTCACAGAGCTCTCACAGTACCCCTGCTCTTGCAGTCGGTCCTATCACTGTGTTTCATTCTCAGCTTGCTAGCAGCTTCACCTGTCAGCGTCGGTGTGTCCCAGCTCCTGCACCTTCTTTCAAGGCTTGCTGGCTCACCTGTCAGCCAGTCCCTCTACCTCTCTCCTCCCGCCTTGGCTGCTGAAGCCCAGATTATGAGAGGCTGGAACATCTCTGAATCCATCATTCCCACAATGTTAAAGGCCAAGAAGTCTACTTCTCACAGGGTCTATAATCACAGGTGGAAGCCATACTTCACCTGGTAGGAGTCCTGGGGCTTTCACTCTAGGAAATTCTCTGAGAGGAATCCTCCCCCTCCTACAAATATATCTGTAAAAGTAGTTGGCTATTAAAGTGTTACAAAAGTCTTTTTTTTTTTAATTAAAAATAACAGCAGCATGGTTTTGCACAGAGCGGCTTTGAGCCTCCTCTTCTGGGATCCGCCTCCGGTGATCTTGGCTCCTCCTCTTCTTTGTGTGTCCTCATAGCAAGCTGCCTGCTTTGGTGGCACACAGTGTCTGCGCACTCCAGAGCTGTGTTTCTATGGAGTCGTCTCAGTGACTTTTTGGGAACTATTTGAGATTTTGCTTTTCAGCATGGATTTTTGTCAATTTTAGCATATGCCTACATTTACGCCTATGCCTATCTTCATTAACATGCTGGAATAAGCCCTTTATATGCTTTTGACAGCCACATTGAACCGTAAGCTGTTCTACCATTGGCTAAAAATAAAAATACTATACTTTTCTCTGGCTGCTTATTCCTGGAGCTCTATCAGGTGGATATCCAGCGATGTTAAGTTGCTGTGAAACCAGGTGGAGTTAACACCGAGGAGCTGTCCTGTTGGCTGTGAGGGTCCCACGGAGAGGTCTGAAGTCCGGTTAAGGGTGTAATGAGTACCTGAGAAGTACCATATCCCCATAGGTTCCTAGATGACCACTAGTGCCCTACAGAATACCATTTACATGCACATTTTGGTTGTGCGTCCGGTGAGTGCAAGCACACCTCATTTTCCTTTCCCACAAGGAGTCACGAGCACCTTATTTGTCTGAATTTGTAAAGGAGCTACTAATTATCCGCACACACTGGATGATATAAGCACAAGTCTAAGGACAAATTTGTGTGGACTGCTATATGTTTACATTGTGAGTTTGTCACTGGTTTTCGTCCATATAGGACAACGCATTATTGTCACTTTATTGCGCTCTTTGTTAGCGCTCTTTCACTTATTACTTTATATTGCTATTTGATTTATTATTATTAGTAGTATTTTAGTGCTGCAATTATGATATAGATGCTTTTAAGGATTTAGAGGTTTTTTCCTTTTGCAAGCTGCTTTATTATATTGATTTATTCATTTATTTATTTTTAATTGTAACAGTGCTCACTTAAATATTATTATTTTAGCCTCTTGAGGATTGACAAGTTCTCAATGGGAGTAAGGTCTGGGGAGTTTCCTGGCC